TTTGATTTATGTAAGGAGATCAGAGCCTCATTTACTAATGCACCAGCAAATCTGGGCCCCGCCGCTCCCCCTCGGCCGCCGGCATGCAAGTGCCCACCTTAGCTGCTGGGGCGGGGCGGGCAGGACCACAGGACGATGCCCGCGGGTCGATGCCCCCGGCACATCCCAGGGATCATGAAGGTGAGCTGGGTGTGCGCACACAGCAGCCCCATTCCCTTCCCCAGACCCACGAATCCTCCCAGCCTGCCTGTAGCTCCTCCGTGGCTGCCGCCGCGGGATGCTCACTGCCGCAGGGCGGCACACCCGCTGCACTGGGGTTTTTCGGACCCTACCACCTTTTCGGACCCTTTTGGACCCAGGCAGGAGCTTGGGGGTCATTAAACTCCAGGAGGGACTGCCTGGGGTGGGGGGTAAGCAGGGATGCATTGGCCTTTCCCTCCTCCTCCTCCTCCCACGAGAAGAGCTTGCTGCCGATTCCCGTCCCCCTCAAACCTCACTCGGGGCCTGGGGCTGTCACTATTTGGGGCTCTCCATCCCCGCTCTGCCAGAGACGAAGGCGGGAGGGAGGCAGCCAGCTCGCTCCCATTCCCATGCCCATAGCTGAGGGTTTCCTGCCAGCAGCCAGGTCGCCAGCCACAGTGGCACAGCCAGGCCGGCATGGCCGCACACCAGCTGAGAAGTAAAGAGGCTGTTACGGCTCTGCTGAGGCCGAGTCCCCCGTAGGGCCCATTGGGCTGTCCCCCCTCCCGCTCAGCTCCCCTCCGAGTGACGATGGGGACAAGGAGGGCATCTGCACCCCAGCAAAGCCCAGGGGGCCGAGGTGATTCCCTCCCCCCTCTGTAATTAAAAGTGTGGAAAAGGAGCATCTGGGCCTGCCGGCTCTGTGTGCCAAGATGCGCCCAAGCATACGGACATGAGCACGTGCAGAGAGTCGGGGGGGACCCCTCAAAACTGGAAGGAAAAAGCCCAGCCAGGCTGCTGCACGTGAGGAAAGGACAAGCGATGCCTTGTGGGGGGTTAGGAGGAGGTGAGGGAAGATGTCCCTGTGTGAACACCGTGCCAGCTCGTCCCCGCTGAAATGGCAGGGGGCAAAGAGCGAGCCTGTGGGGGCCCTCCCTGCACCCCACCCCCCCCCCCCCCCTGCCAGGAACCCCCGCCACTGTGCCACTAAAATTAAGAATCAAATGACTTAATAGTTTTTGTCGGTGCATCAATAAATCTTGTTATGCCTTACAGCCAGGGCCAAGAGCGCCTGGATTAGATCAGCGATCTTCTGCCAGCTCCCTTCCCGCAATCCTGGCTCCGGAGCCTCCAGCAGTAATCCCTGCCCGCAAACCCGCTGCCTGCGGGGAGATGCCCTGGAAGGCAGCCTTCCCGAGGGGGCCCACGGCATTTTGTGTCATCCCTTTCCTGAAACTAAGCGTCCCTGGGCTTCACCAGGGCTTCCTCTCCTTCCTTCCCTCCTGCTGGGTTTCGCTGAGCCTCCAGCACACTGACAGCCGCCCCGGGACTGTCCCCATCCAGCTCACCTTTTGGGGTGATCACCGCCTCCCTTTAGGAGAGCTTTTGGGCCTGGGGGCCCCCATGCCATGGGGTACCCCAGGAAGGTTCCCAGGGCCAACAGATGGAGCCACGTGGGATGGAGAGGTGCAGGCACTTCACCATCAAGTTTTAGGTGTCTGCTCGTACGTGGGGGGCAAAGGCAAGCCAGGGAGGCAGGGGGGACACAGGCAACCATCACTGCACGTCCGAGGTGTGACCTGCTGTGTCTACCCTGCAGAGTACCCTTGGAACACTCGGGTCCCCGGCAGTGCAAAAGGGAACATTTTTGGTGATGTGCTGCTTGCCTTCCTTATCAGTATATGTGCATGTGAGCCTTGACCCAGCATCACTTCAGGCTCCCTAGGCACACATGAGACCCTGCTCCAGCCCTTGTGAGCTTTACCCTCCTCCACCCCACACCTCCCACG